ACAATATATCGAGAGTCTGTAAATAATCCCCCTAGTGTACAATACATCGAGAGTTTGTAAATAATCCCACTAGTGTACAATACATCGAGAGTCTGTAAATAATCCCTCTGGTGTGTACAATATATCGAGAGTCTGTAAATAATCCCCCTAGTGTACAATACATCGAGAGTTTGTAAATAATCCCTCTAGTGTACAATACAGCGAGAGTCTGTAAATAATCCCTCTGGTGTGTACAATATATCGAGAGTCTGTAAATAATCCCCCTAGTGTACAATACATCGAGAGTTTGTAAATAATCCCACTAGTGTACAATACAGCGAGAGTCTGTAAATAATCCCTCTGGTGTGTACAATATATCGAGAGTCTGTAAATAATCCCCCTAGTGTACAATATATCGAGAGTCTGTAAATAATCCCCCTAGTGTACAATACATCGAGAGTCTGTAAATAATCCCCCTAGTGTACAATACATCGAGAGTCTGTAAATAATCCCCCTAGTGTACAATACATCGAGAGTCTGTAAATAATCCCCCTAGTGTATACAAAAACAAGAAACAAAGGCTGCGCCAGGGGAGTAATTAAAACAAGTAAAATAAGTCCAAATAAAATAATAAAAAAATCAAAGTAGGAGAGTCCCAATAGAAAGTGGTATTTCAACTGATATGATGTCTTCCTTAGTAGTGGTCGTCCGTCTCACGATATGAAAGACACAATGGGAGAGAGCCAATTGTGCAGAGTGTATAAATAGATAATATTTAAATAAAATATAGATTACACACTCACATTTCCATGAGCTAGGACCAGCTCTAGTATGATGGGCATACGGCGGATAACCCTCCGCTTATAGGGGTGCTTGTCCTCCTGGAGCGTCTTGGTGTCCAAATTCTCAGGGAAAGAAAATAAAAACAGCCAATACTGCTCTCTGGTGTAGTAGCGTATAAAAAGGATAAAAATAAATAAAATATACTCACAAATGGAGTGCAGGTCAATCTGCACTCTGTTATTCGCGTGGGTGGTATAATCCCCACTTTAGGATATGCCAGGAACAATAAATGAGGTTTAAAAGTAATAATAATTGTAAAATTATTTATTAGTACAATATATTAAAACCAATAACGCGTTTCGCCGTGAAGGCTTTATCAAATTGGAATAGTATAAATACCTGGCACATAAGGAGTATATATAGCTAGGTGTGTACAATATATCGAGAGTCTGTAAATAATCCCCCTAGTGTACAATACATCGAGAGTCTGTAAATAATCCCCCTAGTGTACAATACATCGAGAGTCTGTAAATAATCCCTCTAGTGTACAATACATTGAGTGTCTGTAAATAATCCCTCCCTCTCTTTATGTTAAAATAGGCATGAAGTTTAGCCAACTAGATTAACATGTGGGTAGCACAAGACGACTCAGACACAGTGTTGTGGCTCCCGACCCGCCGCGTGCCGCAGCTGTGCCCTACCGGCACGGCCTCGCCAATACCACGAGCTTACCTGCTCGTCGGCGACCCGGGAGCCGCTCCTCTGCCGTCTATGGGCATCGCGCCCAAATCAAAGATGGCACGGACCACGTGGTCACGTCAATCTTAAGCTCCGCCCCTAAAATGAATACAAATGTGCGCGTGACGTCACAACGTCAGCGCACGCGCACGTTCTGGGGTCAGAGGTCATCCTCTGACCAATCAGAACCCAGAGAGAGATATTTAAATCACTAATTCACTCTAGTTCCTTGCCCTGTCGTGGTTTCCTGTTCCTGGTTCCCGAGAGTGCGTTTATCTTTGTGAATTTGACTTCCTGGTATCCTGATCTTGGCTTTTCCCTGGTTATTCCGAATTCTGGTTCCCCTGACTTGGCTTGTTTAAACAGTATCTGAGTATTTCTGGCTTCCTTGGCCTCAGCTTTCCCTCAGCTTTCCCTTTGACCATTCTCTAGCATATTAGTCCGGCCATTCTAAGGTCCGGTTTTCGCTCTGTCCTTTTCTTTTCCTTTTCTTTTGTATGTATATGTTTACATAGTTTCTGCGTATTGGACCACACTAGCAGCCGTGACACACAGGAGACAACCCCAGTCAAAAGCTGAGAACGAGAATGTACAATCCGTGAAATCCGATCTCAGCCCATATGAGAGCACTTTAGCGGTGATGTTTCCATTGTCGGCCCTAGAGGGCGATGGCCAGCATGATGTGCATGAATTTCCTGAGAGGATGAATTATTCCACCTCGGCCATGTTGGCTTACAGCTCTTTGTCAATTCTCTGCATATCAGGTTTAATTAATAAACCACAACGGACATGTTTGACTTCGAAAAGCATAATTTACCTTTTTGTTTTCTTATGATCAATGTATTCATACTGTGTCACCTCGATGGTCTTCGTGGTTTTCCAGGAATCCCTTCAGCCGGATGTAGCGGAGATACAATATTCCCCAGGTTATCTCTGCTTAAGATCCCAGTGAGGCTCAGGAACAAATAAATTATAAATCCACAGGCAAAGTTTCCAGCAGGCAAAATAATCCAATAGTATCCCAACAGCAATCCCAATGACTGGACGACACACAGCAGGAGCAGAACTGAAAGCTTTATTCCACAGTGGCCTTTTAAAGCATGCTCCCATGCAAGGGAGGGATTACATTCATTAACACAATAGCCAATCCTGTCCTGGTAACCTCCCACACATCTCCTCCCCTCAGCCGGCATCATAATCCCCTTATCCAGTACAGCAATTCCCCACATTTCTGGATGTACCCCTAAACCTAAGGGTACCACTTTAAATTATGCATCCCCTGGTAGCCCTGATCTGGGTGGACAACATATCCAAAAATCACCCAGATCAGACCAGGGGTTCGGGAATTTCATGGAGGGAATAAAATGACCGACCGCACTGGATGAACTAGCCGAATTGGGCTCCATGCGATTGGGCCCTGCGGTCGGTCCTGGAAAAGGCGAATGAAGTACCTGAAAGCCTCCAGCTATAGGGGCTGGGGAGGGTTCGCCTGAATCCCCTCGTTCGGTTGATTATGCCTACCGAACGAGGGGCCATTCGGTAGTTTGGAACCGAACGGACCGGGCTGATGGAGGTCTCAGCGGTGTTCACCTAGTTGAGTGTCTGTTTTGAGTTCCAGACGCTCGACGGCAAAACACCGCTGTTCGGGAGTTTAAGATGGCCGCCGCCACGTGTTCGTTTCCCGAATGGCGGCCACCCCTGAGAACAAAGGATTGCTACACAGCTTGTCAATTACCCGTTCGCAACAATGTTGCAACGGGTAATTGAAGGCACACTTCACACAGGGGAGGTCTAACTGTTCGGTAGTTTCATTCGAACAAACTAAGGGAATGAAACTACCTAACATTCAGACGAATCCAATATATTTTACACATAGAACTTAGCTATTTTACACGAAGGCATTCCCTTACTGCATAGACATTTAGCAAATAGACGAATACAGGTTACACATAATACAATTCCCAGGGCAGCTCATGGCCCTCTGCTACACCGGAAGATTAATTTATCAGTTGAAGAACCCAATATATCAAACTTCGGTATGAAGAATATTGGCAAGTTGAAATGAGGCTGAACCTATTGGTTACATTTCACGAGGGTTTCTAAGTTATAAAAGATTTCACAATTTCAGATTTGTATTTATGTTTTTGAAATAAAACTTCAAAGAATTCCATGCTTATCAGCAGATCTGTCTGAGAAACAGAGGCTGAGGCTTTGCCTTCATATCAAGATGGATCATAGAGGTATGGCGTTCTACACTCCTTTTCTGTGGAGCAAAGGGTTTGTGCTTCCAGTGGCACAGATCTTTTTTTATTTGCCCTGTGACTTGTCTTGATGTGGTGTCATGATGTTACAATGTCATTTCTTGGTACTCCCAGTTATTGTGTCCCTAACACATAGAAGGAAGCAGAGGACCCAAGATTGGTGACCAAATGGTATATTAATTGTGAAGCCTTGGCTCATCTGTTTAAATGAATATAACATTATTTCAAATGACACTGAACATATAACAGAAGAACAAGACTGACTGGATGAACCATGGGAAACCACTAGCTTGTAGACACAGATCTGCTGCTACAAGGATGTAGATCAAGGAATGCCACAACCATGGAACTCAGTGAAGGCATCAGAACAGAACACAATAACCAATAAATAGAACATTCATTGTCTCCAACAATAAAACCATTTCAAAAAACTATTTTGGAAAATAAATGAACCAAAAGGCACGAAAATGGGCCAATCTGTGAGCTGCAAATTATACATTGTTTAAATCTAAATCTAATAATTAGAGTTGAGCGGACACCTTGATGTTCCGGTCCGGCGGGTTCGGGCGAACTTTGAAAAAAAGTCCGAGTTCGGACTCGAACTTGACCCCGAACCCAAACCCCATTGAAGTCAATGGGGACCCGAACTTTTGGGCACAAAAATGCCTCTAAAAACTCCTGGAAAGGGCTAGAGGGCTGCAAAAGGAAGTAAAATGGGGGCAAGTGTCCCATAAAATAGCACTAGATGGAATCTTTGATTTTAGCTTTGGAAGAACGTAAATCAAAATCTAAAGCATGGCTGCCAGGAGGATCACCAGAATTATCCATTTGAGAGAGGGTTGGAGTGCAGGGTATTCTCTTTCATTGTTCAAACTGAGCTCAACTCCTGATGCATGGAGAAAACGCCTTCACAAGCTTCTGCTATTGTGTACATAGTTTATACTACGTGACCCATAGTTTGAGGAGGCGGTGACCGTGACGGTGTAGGTGGAAGCGGCGGTGGAGGAGGAGAAGGTAGCCAACACTGTTTATATATATCTATTTTTTATTTTAATTGGGGTAGCCCCCAGAATATTGGGACATTTGCGGCCTGCGGTGCATTTCTTGCAGTCCTGATGCTTGGAGAAATGCTCAACTCCTGATGCATGGAGAAAAGGCCTTCACAAGCCTCTGCTAATGTGTACCTAGTTTATACTAAGTGACCCATAGGTTGAGGAGGTGGTGACCGTGGGAGTGTAGGTGGAAGCAGCGGTGGAGGAGGAGGATGAGGTAGCCAACACTGTTTTATATATATATATATATATATATATTTATTTTTTTAATTGGGGTAGCCCCAAAAATATTGGGACATAATAAAAAAGACAACTCCGTTCCGCAGAGTAGCTGTTGACAATATAGTTGCGCAGGCACTTTGTTGACTCTAGCGCACCTCGGGCCAATCTCACATCCCCGTGGCGGCGACTTTGCATGCGGATGTCATCCATATCAACTTTTGATCCCGGTTTCTGCGCCTACCATGGTGACCACGGGTAACGGGGAATCAGGGTTCCATTCCGTACAGGGACCCTGAGAAACGACTACCACATGCAAGGAAGGCAGCAGGCGTGCAAATGACCCACTCCCGACGAGGGAAGGTAGTGACGACAAATAACAATACAGGCCCTGTAATTTTAATGAGTCCACTTGAAATCCTTTAACTCTGATCAATTGGAGGTAAGTCTGGTGCAGAGCCACTGACCCGTGCGTGCTGCAGCTGAAACTCCACTATTGCCTGCTGCTGCTCTCACAGTCTCATGAGGCGGTGAGCTGGAAGGCCGAAGTTATGCTGCAGCACAGACAGGCGAGCAGCAGCAGAGTTAAAATGCCAAAAGCGAGCACAGCCACTACAGTGAATGTCACACCCTGTTCCAAGTTGCGGATCTGTCTGGTGATGGCTTCTGGTATCCAGTACTCTTTTTACTGAAGCTGCATCAGGGTCCTGGTATGTGGCCGCACAAACGCTGTTGCTCAACACCATGGGGCGTGCGGTTACCCTGCACCAGATCCTGCTAATCCATTCCACACTGTGACTCCTAACTTCAACATCAGGCACATCGGGTCCTGGTCATCCTACCACCGCCCAGACAGTGTCTGGGTCCTTGTCACTGGACTGCCCACCTGACTGTGAAAGTACAAATGGATCGTTAAATCTGGTATGCACCTGAACTTTGCAGTTCAGGTTCGCACAACTCTATTATGGATCCTTTGATTACTACATGTATTACTTGGATAACTGGTAATTCTCGAGCTAATACATGCCAACAAGTGCTAGGGGACGGCCGCTCCGCTTTTGCACCCTGCTCCCTCTTATGCTGTGCTGGTGCCTCTGTGCGACCAGCTCCTCTTCCTCCAAACTGCACACGTCATTCGCATGACCTTGATTCCACGTGGGGTCTAGGACCTCATCATCCTCCACATCATCTTCCACCCACTCCTCAACCCTGCCCTCCTTGCCGGTCTGCACACTGCAGAAAGCCACAGCAGTTGGCACTTAGGTTTTTCCAGCATGTAAAGTTTGCAAAGGACATATGGAAATTGCTTTAGAATTTCCTCCAGGCAACAGTTTTCCCTATAAACTGACCTCTCAGTTTGACTTGTGAGGGTATTGACCCAGAAATACAATATTGTTTAAGTACCTCTTCGCTATTGATAACTGGTTTAAATATAGCAGCTTGTTATCTGGTAGTTTCTAGTGTAGAAAATATCAATCTGTTTTCTATCACTTAGATCTGTGTAACAAGTGTTGTAGGTGTGAAACAATATTACAAGTGACTGATGTAATAAATTCGAAACAAAGTTACGCTTCGAATTGACTCTCAGATATGAAGTGAACACCCCAAATATACTATTTAGCACCAAAAAAAAATAAAAAAATAAATTGACTTTTTAAAACTCCAATGTAAGCAGCAGATTAGCAGCAAAACAACTGCTCTGTAAGCGCACTATTAGACGCTTCTATTTGACTCTCAGATATGAAGAGCAGGCCACAAAATTTACTATTTAGCAGATTAACACCCAGAAAATTAGAATGTTTACCACGGTGCTGTAAGCGCACTATTAGACACTTCGATTTGACTCTCAGATATGAAGTGCACCCCACTAAAATACTATTTAGCAGTTTAGGACCCCAAAGATTTTAAGTTTTAAAACTGCACTATGACAGTAGTATTTGACGCTTCTATTTGACTCTCAGCAATGAAGTCTGTGGCGAAACCAGCCTCGCCACTGTCCACTGGAGGAGCCTGGTTGCTCGCCTGCTCCCTTTTATTTTCCCTGCAGAAAAGCGTATTTGTGCCTTTCTGCGGACTGTTAAAGCCATGCTACCCCAGATAGCTATGCCATGGAGCCCAGACGTATACTGAAAGACTGTATGAAAGACTTTGGCTCCATGGCAATTGAACTGTATGTATGTAATCTGAGCGCCATCCGGTAATAATGTGCGCTCAGATCTAGGCTATCTGGGGATAGGTAGAATGTGTATGTTCTATGTGATAAATGTAACAGTATGTAATTTTATGTCTTTTATTGTCCTTTGTCTACCATGTGGCTAATGGAGTTTTACCTCTGTCCTTGGAGATAATTGGATTACTTCCCAATTACCCCCAGGACAGAGAGGAGGGATTGTGATGCATTGTGGGAATGTTTAAAGGTGTATTTCTGTGATTGGTCAATGTCCAATATGTTTCCCAGTTTCCCATCTGGTCCCCTAGGGGAGTGTCCACCAGGTGGGAGACCTGCATAAAAGCCAGGCAGTTAGCCCCAGTAAATCAGTTCCTGCTTGACCCTCAAAAGTGTCGTTATTGGGGGAATTGGATTGTATGCTGATTGCCAGGAGTGTAAGCTGAGTGTATGCTTTCCCTATTCGTGTGTTTCCTGTCGGGAGTTGGTGAATTCGTATAGTTTGCAGTTCGGGAGATTAGTGCTTACAGTAGCTGTCGGTGCATCTGGAAAGGGGAATATCGCCTAAACGGTTTTTAACCTCTTGTATTCAAAACGGTCCGTTACAAAGTGCACCCCACTAATGTACTTTTTAGCACCCAAACATTTTTAAGTTTTAAAACTGCAATGTGACAGCAGTATTTGACGATTTTCTTTTTGACTCTTAGATATGAAGTGCACCCCACCGCACTAATGTACTAGTGTAACAGATCCCCCTGTTTTGCGTTGGATCTGTGATATATGTTGTACCAGCCTCCTACCATGTTGCCTGGGAACCCCTACCTTTTGTTTTCCTGACTTTTCAATATGGAACCACTGAACGAATTTGTTTGTCCCCAAGTTGTGTTGTTCATAAAAATATAAGTTTTACTCCTGTAGGAGTTTTAGCTTGGAGATAATTGAGTAGATACAGTAAGAACCTCAATTATCTCCCAAGCAGAGGGTAGGGAATCTGTGGGATGTAACCACTGTATGATTGGTCAATGTATAATTGTCCGTGGGTGTCTCCCTTGCAGGGGAGCACTGCATAAAAGCAGAGTGTGTGTCATTAAACCTCAGTTTTACTTCACCCTCAATCTAGAGTCCTGTCTGTTATTGGGGGTAACCGCTATACAGCTATTCACACTAGCTCTTGTAAGAGCTTCTTCACTTGGAACACGACTGGACGCTGAGCATCCTCCTCACTGATCGGGAAAAGGACACCCTCCAGCGGTTGAAACCCCTCTGCAACACGGGGTAACCGCTACAACTAGTTTGCAGAATTCTTTCCTAAGCGGTCCCTATCAGCGGCAGCATCCTGTCCCTACACTAATAAGATCACATGTGCGCTACGCAACTCCAGCTTATATATAGAGGCTGGGTCACATGCTGCACTGGCCAATCACAGCCATGCCATTAGTAGGCATGGCTGTGATGGTTTCTAAGGGCACACGAGTCAAACACTTGTTGATTGGCTGCCCTGCAGCCTTTCAAAATGCGCCATTAAATCGTCAAACACCGAACTCCAACCCGAACATACAATGATATGTCTGTCTTCCGATTCGGGGTCCAAAAACCGTAATGTTCGGTACAAACCCGAACTTTACAGTCTGGGTTCGATCAACTCTACTAATAATACAAATATTGGGCGCATATTTAGCAGTATACTGATTTTCTTACTTTTTGGCTCACAAATCAAAAAAGGAGCCAATATATAGATAAAAATATGAGTACTAGTAAAATCATCTGTATTTATATATTATTTATTTATTAAATATATAAAAAAGTATTTTTTCCCACTTATTTTTTCTGTCTATTGCTCACTTTTCACTAGATCTGTGAATACAATAAACGTGTGCAGGGTAAATGTTACAGTAAGTCTACAAAATCCAGACATCGCTCATACTATTTACCAAGATCTGAATTTAGTAAGTCAGGCGTCAAACATGCTTGAATGTCAGCCAAACCGAACGCTGCTGAATGGCTGGAATCGTGACCGAATGCTTCATATTCCAGATAAAAAAGACAGATAGATAGACAGATAGAGAGATAGATAGAGAGATATATAGACAGGCAGACAAACAGATAGATAGACAGATGTAGAGAGATAGATAGATAGATAGAGAGAGAGAGATAAACAGACAGACAGAGAGAGATATGTAGATAGATTGATAGATAGACAGATAGAAAGACAGATAGATAGATAGATCTTTCAGAATTCTCTGTCTGCCAGTGTGTCATCGTTATACCCCCGAAATCAATATATCTGATTCCAGTCTGGGTCTTTCTGAGCTCCGGGCAGGGAGTATAATAGGACCTGTGCTTGCAGACTTTATATTTGTGTTTGGCAGTAAACTATTGTACATCTTACAAACCATTTACTTTTGGCTCCAATAAAGCTATATTTAAATACACAGTCATTCTTTTACTAATTCAGACATTGGCTAAGAACATTCTTCATATACTTTTCACGTCGTATTCCCAACCTTTAGCGAATGAAATATCTCACTGTATCTCAAACTGTAGAAACCTTCAAAGAATTTTTAGGCTTTTTAGAAATTGGCTGCCTGGGACTCGCTTGCATGCTCCTACTGATTAATAAAAAGCAAGGAAATTATGTTTATTTACTTAATGGCGGCAGACCAATCAGATTGCCCGTCCCATTCGTGTTATACAACCGTTTCATAACCAAAGTCTACAGGTCAACGGTGCGGAGGTGGTTGGCCAACCATCAGTGAAAAGCTTATGGAAAATGTTTCTCCTGACAAAACGGCTCAGTATTATTTACTCTTAGTTGTGGCGTCCTCTCTGAAAACAAGTTAACTCATGTTCTGCCGTAGGAGGTCAATTCAGTGATAAACATTTTGCTTATTGCAGTGGAAGTGAGTGAGTGGATTTATATGGGTTCCTGTGTTTTGCATCAAACAGATAATTCAGTGTCTCTCTTTCCCACTTACTCCATTTAGTGTCTCCTTTCCCTCTCACCCCATTTAGTGTCTCCTTTCCCTCTCACCCCATTTAGTGTCTGCCTACCCCTCTCACCCCATTTAGTGTCTCCTTTCCCTCTCACCCCATTTAGTGTCTCCCTACCCCTCTCACCCCATTTAGTGTCTCCTTTCCCTCTCACCCCATTTAGTGTCTCCCTACCCCTCTCACCCCATTTAGTGTCTCCTTTCCCAATTACCA